ACAATAAAGAATTTGAAAAATCAATGGAAAAATATCCTCGGGTGAGGCTTAACAGAAAAATACAAACCAACAATAAATCTTGTGAATTTAAAAAAAAAGAAAAGCAAATATTAAAGGGATCACACATGTAAAAACTCTAACTTAATTATGTTATCATATAAAAGGCTTTTTTAAAAATTTTCAAGTTTATGCCCATAAAAAAAGCACAAAGCCTCCTTCAGATTTCGCTATGACTTTATTAAAACAGCTTTCTGAACTACTCTCCTTGAGAAATGAGAACGGATTTTATTCTCCTTGATAAGCTTGTTCATATGTTTATGAATGAAAAATGTTTAATAAAAATAACCTGACTCCCATCTTGCTTTTTAGAATATTAAATAAACAGAAGGAAACACAACTATGGTGATTTTTACATATAGATAAACAATCTGTATAATTTATGAAAGTTGTTAGTAAATGAGCAATAGATACCAAATAACTATGTGTTCTCTAACGTCTGGCTGAATATTTCAGTCTAAACAGGCCTTTTATGTTCTTAGTAAATAAACATATAAATTAATTAATGAGTTTTAATTAGTTCTAATACCTAAAACATAATTCAAATAAAGATTATGTGAAGTATTCAATTAAAAATTTGTTAAATTCTTCTTAAATGAAACAGCTTCTTAGTATTTAGATGTCTAGGAGAAGCCCTCTTATAAGATGCAGTTAAAATCAGTACTTGGTTATTATTCTAAAAGGTCAGATAAAGCAGAAATAATAACAAAGGACAAATATATAACGTAAGCACTTTATTTTAACTTAAAACATATGTATATTCATTCACAAATATCTTAATAATGGGAGGGCTCCACCTTCTTTCTTGCATAAATCAAATTCATATAATAAGGCATTATTTTCAGCCTCTGAACACAGAGCAGGAATTTGAACACTTGGGAAACAACTTCATTAAAGAAACTTAAATTTTTATGAACTCTTTCACTCAATGTTTTATAGTTTAGTCAAAGACAACCAATTCACCAGGAATAGTTTTATCCATTCATCTATGTAGTTTTCCAAAACAATTTAAATAAATTTTCATAAATTTTTGTCATAAGTTTATATATTATACTAGAGGCCCGGTGCATGAAATTCATGCACTGTGTGTGTGTGTGTGTGTGTGTGTGTGTGTGTGTGTACACCTCAGCCTGGCCTGTGCCCTCTCGCAGTCCAGGACCACTCACTCCTTACCGCCCGCCTACTTGCTGCTCCTTACCGCTCGGCTTGCTGCTCCTTCCTTAGCACTGCCACGGAGGCAGGAAAGGCTCCG